TCTTTAATCCCAGCACTCAGGAGGCAGAGGCAGGAGAATCTCTGTCATATAAAGGCTATCCTGGTCTACATAGTGAGTTCCAGGTCAGCTGGGGCTACAGGGAGACCCTACCTCAAACAACAACAACCACAATCACAAAAAAGAAAGAAAGAGTTCAAGGCTAGCCTTGGCTACCTAGTGAATTTGAGGCCAGCCTAGGCTACATGAGACCTTGTCTCCAAAAAAACTAAACCAACCAAGCAACCAAAAGTAAAATCAAATATATTTCCAAGATGTTCTGAGAAACATTTATAGCACCTCCAGAACTGAAGTGTGTGTGTATGTGTGTGTGTGTGTGTGTGTGTGTGTGTGTGTGTGGTGTTGCAAAAAGGGTAAAATGCAGGGCTGAGAAGGTAGCTTATTTGGGGAAGTCCTTGCTACGCAAGCATGAGGACCTGAGTTTAGCCCCCAGGACCCATATGAAAAAAGCAGGACATGTTGACATGTTTGTGATCTCAGTTTTTATGGAGATGGACACAGGAGGATCCCTGGGGTTGTTGGCCAGCCTTCATTTAAAACAAGGGCTGGAGAGATGGCTCCGTGAGTAAAGTGAGGCATAAGGACCTGAGATTGGATCCCAGCACCCACATAAAAACTGCGTGGTGGAGCACATCTGTAACCCAGCATTGGGAGAGGGGAGCTAGGCATATCCTGGGACCTTGCTGGCCAACCAGTCTAGCTAAAATAGTAAGCTTCAGGTTCGGTGAGAGCCCCCATCTTAAAAGACAAGGTGGGGAGAGATAAGGGAAGATGCCGGCTATGGACCACTGAAGGTTGTCCTCTAACTTACATACACACACAAGGTGATAGTTCTAATCCAATCACTTATGTAAAGCTTTCCCCCCAACCCACTTTGAGACCTTGTCTCCTTGTAGCTCCAGCTGGCCTGGAATTCACTATAATCCAGGCTGGCCTTGATCTTACAGAGATCTGACTGCCTTTGTCTCCCAAGTGTTGGGATTAAAGGCATGGGACCATCACACCTGACTGACTGACTGACTGACTGACAGCTTTTGAAAATTATGTATAATCAGGTAATATGCTTTTCTGGGGACAGAGTTACTACTGTTAAGACACAGGGCTCTGTTGCTTGTGGTGTGGCTTTCTTCATGATACATATAAACATGGCTTTGTTTTTGTTTTTTGCTGTGCTTAAGTTCAAACTTGTGCCTTCTGTAAAGCAAGTGCTCTACCAACTGAGCTACATCCCCAAACCAAATAGAGATGTGTGTGTCTGACTGCCTTTGTCTCCCAAGTGTTGGGATTAAAGGCATGGGACCATCACACCTGACTGACTGACTGACTGACTGACAGCTTTTGAAAATTATGTATAATCAGGTAATATGCTTTTCTGGGGACAGAGTTACTACTGTTAAGACACAGGGCTCTGTTGCTTGTGGTGTGGCTTTCTTCATGATACATATAAACATGGCTTTGTTTTTGTTTTTTGCTGTGCTTAAGTTCAAACTTGTGCCTTCTGTAAAGCAAGTGCTCTACCAACTGAGCTACATCCCCAAACCAAATAGAGATGTGTGTGTGTGTGTGTGTGTGTGTGTGTGTGTGTGTGTGTGTGTGTGTGTTTAATGAAAATTCCAATTATGTCGATACATGTCCTTTAATTTGCTTTTGTTTTTGAGATGGGGGCTCCCTGTGTTACCAAGACTGGTCTCCAATTCATCTGTGCTTCAGCATTGTAGTAACTGGAACTGCAGGCACCTGCTATTGTCCCTGGCTTTCTAGTTTGTTTTTAAGCACATTTCATTGTTACTTCCCTCTCAGTGTGGATATAGGTCAAATTCATTTTTAATTGCAGCATAAGATCCCTTAATATTAGTGATTTTAATTCAACTCCCCTTATCGATAGATAATAGATTGGTAGGTAATATTTTCCTCCCTAGTTTTTCACTGTCCCAAGAGGCATGCTGGTAGGAAGAGGAAAAAGATGGACCCTCCAATGAGAGGCGGAGGGAGACTTGGGTTTATAGCTCTATTCTAATTTGTGGCCTTCAGCAAATCCCATTCTCTAGGCCCAAATCTCTTGTTAAGAGGCTGTAGAAAGTATCTTTTTTGAGATTATGATTACTCCATAATCCCCAGAAATATCTGTATATAAAACATTCCATATTATGTGGAGTATGAGTGCCATAATCTCTAAACATTCCTGTAAACACACTCAGACCTGGCTGGAGGGATTGCTTCAGGTTTTCCCCTGACTAGGAAGCCAGTTCAAGCAGTTTAGATACGGTGAAGACCTGCTGCAGTCCCCCCCCCTTTGCACTTGTGACACTTTAGGACAATTGTCCATCACATGAACCAAAGATAATCAGCGGGCTCGAGCCTCATGACTGGCCACTTGTGAGGCTGCAGAGCACCTCTCACTGGCTGTCGCATCTAAAGAATAGTCCATGCAGCCTGTGCTGTGTGGGATGCTCCTAACCTGCTGACCCTCTGCAGTGTCCTTTCCACCTGGAAACCCTGGTGTCCATCACTCCTGGTTTTCAACTCTTCACACCTGCCTCAGGTGGACTTAACATCTTCTCAAACAGAAAGAACCTCTAACGAGGGGAAAGATCACTAATGCTTTTCTGTATTTGCGGTTTCAGCTGCTAATGTGTAATGTTTGTAGAACCTTCATACCTTCATGTCTTTTTAGAACCAATACTTTGTTTTAGAACATTGGGGAATGGAAGATGTAAAGTTTCCCTTTGATACATAAAATTTCTGTATCAAAAATTTTGACCTGAGTTCCTTCTCTGGGACGAGCTCTCAGACTAAGTGCCTTTTGTCTCTACCCTGACTAACCTCACCCTGTGCCCCAAGCCTCAGTTCCATGATGGAAATTGTTGGGGAAAGCTACACGTCTCACAGTCATTGATCTTTATAGAGTATGCCTGCTCTCACTGATGTTGTCTGCTATCAGAGTAAAATGATCTTAACAACCCAGCTAAAGGTGTTCATACTTAGGTGTCTTCAGATGCCCACACCACCTTAAGAATCAACAAGAGGCCTGTTGAGATGGCTTAACAGTTAAGAGCATTGGCTGTTCTTCCAGAGGACCTGGGTTCAGTTCCAGGACCCACATGGTGGCTAACAACCACCCTTAACTCCAGTTCCATGGGCTCCAACATCCTCTTTTGGCCTCCACAGGGTCCAGGCACACACATGGTGCACTTACATACATGCAGGCAAACACTTATACACATACAATCTTTTTTTAAAAATCAAAGATTATAAACCTGGCGTTCTAAGTTGGGTGTGGTGATGCCCATCTGTAATTCTAGCACTAGGGAAGCAGAGGCAGAAGGACTGCCATGTTTGAGGCCAACCAGGGCTACATAGTGACACCCTGTGTATTAGTCGCTTTTCTGTTGCTATGATAGAAACACTGACCCAAGCAATTTATAGAAGGAAGAATTTATTCCAGGGGAATTACAGTCCATCATGGCAGGGAGGCATGGTGGCTGGAGCCCACCCCCAATGACGTGCTTCCTCCAGGATAACCACACCTAAAACCTCCCATAACAGCGTCATCATCTGGGGACAAAAACGTCCAAATACTTGGAGCCTATGGGGGACATTTTCATTCAAACCATCACATTCCACCCCCTGGCCCCCATAGGCTCGTGACCATATAAAATGCAAAATGCATTTAGTCCAACTTTAAAAGTTCCCATAATCATTATCGGTCTCAATACTATTTAAAAGTCCACAGTCCAAAGTGGACTCAGGTAAATATCTTAACTGAAAGCCTCTATAAAATCAAAAGACAAATTGTGTACTCCCAATACAGTGGAATCCAATACACATTACCATTCTAAAAGGGAGGAATGGAGGCATAGTAAGGAAATACCAGACCAAGACCGAAAACCAGCAGGGAAACACCAAATCCAGTAGCTCCACGTCCAACTTCTGGGATTTTGCTTCCAAAGGGCTTAGATGGTTCAGCCTCCCTACCTTGCTGCATACAACACACATCTTTCTTGTGCTGGTGCCACTCCCTGTATGCAGGTCTTGGCAGATGCCTCACAGGTCTGGCATCATGAACTTCTTGGGGTCTCCATTGCCAACCAGGCTTCACCTTCACAGTCTCACACAATGGCCTATCAGGACCTTCTCTAGCCAGGGGTACCCCTGCTGAATGCTGCCTGGCCTCAGCGGCTCTCACAAACTGTGGAGGAAGAACTGATGACCCCTTCACTCTTGCATCTTTCATGCCTCTAAAGCCAGCACCAGGTGAACAACAATGCTAAGTTTGACTCTAAGTTTGGCATGGACCCCAGCCTGCTTTATCCATTTTAGAAGCTTTTCTCTTCAGTGGCCCCTGCAGCATTTTCCTTTCACAAGTTGGAGGCTTAACTGGGTGTGGACTTGCCCTGGAGGCACTCTCGCCATTGTTTAAGTTTGAATGTCTAGGCCCCTCCTTAATCACTTTAATCTCCTTATCAATGGGATCCTCTCCATCACATGCCAGGGCTCCAACATTTATCTTCCTAGTGCTCTTTTTCAATCCAAGCTGTATTTCTTTCTGCCCCATTTGCTCTCTTTCACTGTAGATCTGCATAATAGTCACCATTAATAGCCATGCCACCATTTCTACATTAGGCTGTCTTGAAATTTTTTCCGCCAAAGAAATTAGTCAATTACTTTTCAACTTAGCCCTAGGCAAGCTTTTTGGATGTGGGCAGACTCCAGCCAGACTCTTTGCCAAAATATCCCAATTTCTGCCTA